GGGGACATGTCGCTTAAGGTCTAAGTTTAAGGGTCCAGGGCCTCTGATCTTCTTAAGCCCAACAAAGGCAATCATGAACTTTCCCAAAGCCCTAGGTGTTCCTGTTCTCAGGATAGTATAAGAATCACCCAAAAAACCTTCTTCTAATCATATCCATAGGCCCCATGGTAGTTCCTTGTTGGGATCACCTTATAGGATTCGATTTTTGAACCCCCGAAGTAAGAAGGAACTAGTATGGGGCCTGTGGGAAAGGCCGTTGGAGCCCTGTAAAGGATCCGTTTGAGGAGGCCTTTAAAGGGGTCTATGGGCTATTGTAAGGCTTCAATCTAATTAGAATAGGGCTCCGTTTAAAGGTGTCTATAAGGGCCATCATAAGGATGTAATATAGGGGCCGGGGCCTTAATAATCAGAGTACGGTTTTGGGGCCCATTGTACGATAGTTATATTAAGGAGCCCCCCAAAAATAGTAAAACTAGTATTAGTAGTTATTTCGGCGCTTTTAGTATTCTAACAATGAAGGCTCCTCTTGATGTAAGACCCAAGTCGCAAGTTGGGCCCAGGTGGAGATGGACTCGGTGACGCCGCCCGCTGCGGGGTGGGGATCACGGATTTCCTTGGCATTTAAGGTTCGGGAGGGTTTGGGTTTGGGGGTTGAGAGTTTGGAGCTTCTAGTCTCCATTCAGTGTGGTACACACGAATTGCCAATTCCCACCGTGAAGAGTGAAAGGAATATCTTAGAAGCTGCCCCCACCCTGTAATAGTGACCATAAGGATTATATTCATATTATATTAGGGCCCTATTATATTCCTATTATACCACTATTACAGGGTGGGGGCAGCTTCTAAGGAATATCCAGTCTAGCCTCGGCTCGGCCCCTGGGTGCGGTACTAACAGGCATGCTGTGCACTCTACAGTAGAAGCCAGAAAGTTGGAACATCATTATCCCCATGCCCTTAAGGTAAAGTATAAGAGATCCTAGCACTAATCCTCCTAAATCCATGTTCCAACTTTCTGGCTCCTACTGTATCATGGAGTCCATGCAGCCGGCCCCCGCAAGGCAAGAACAACGGTACTCTCAACCCTAAACCCTAAACCCTCAACTCTTTTTGGCTGCAAGTTTCAGGTGTAGTGGTTTGAGGTTTAGGAGTTAGAGGGTTTAGGATGTTAAAGGCCCCCGTCTTTCGTTCGTGTTGAAGTTTCGGGGTCCAAAGCTTGGGGGTATACGTTTGGAGTTAAATGCTAGACCCAAAAGTAACCTAGGAACAAAAAATGTACCCTTTTTTCAGAGATTGCGATACGCATGCCCGCTCAAAGTGGGTGTTTCTAACGGGTTTGGGTGCTCGCTCAGCTTTTTCTTCTCCCCGAATGCCCCACGGTCCCCGACGATGTTTCGTGCTGCTGCAGGTTCGCCCGCAACTATTTATCTAATGAAACATCTATTTTATCCAGTATGTGAGTTCTCGAATCACTGAACACGAAACATCAGCCAGTTCGCTTGCGCTTACTGGCCCGCCCCCGTTGGCTGGTCGTGGCATTTGTCAGCCAACTGTACACGATCCAATAGGCCTGATCGCGATTCCTCTTCTGAGGTGCAATGCCCTTCAGCGTCTTTTTTCGAGAGTCATATCCGTGAGGAGGTAGCTCGGGATTGTAGGAGGCTGCACAGGAATTCCTTGGATTGTGTTTTCATCATACCTCCCGCTGAATCTCGCTCGCTCTCTGTCTCGGTCTCTCTCTGTCTCGCTCACTCTCACTAGCAGCAGACAAGAGTCTTGCCCTCAAAAATCGCCCCATTGCACAGCTTGCCCTGGAAGTGAGGTAGCGTGCGATCCTTGTGGATGACCATATGCATCATTGTTCCATCGGGTAAAGGCAGCTTCTCCACAAGCTCTGGCGGAAGGGCACACGTGTTGGAGAGTAGGGCCCTGGAAGCTCGGGCATCAGGGGGCGCCCCTCTTTCATCCCTCGAAGCCCCATTGGCCGGGGTTTCTCCGGTCACCTGAGATGCAGCGAAATCTTGTTGGAAGATACGGGGGTGGTGCAAGAAAGAGAGGATCACAAATGCAACTTAGAAGCCTCATCATCGTCATCAGGAGCATCCTGCTCCTTTTCATCCTGCTGCCCAAGCAACTGCCGGCAGGCAGCCGTAGCAGCATCTTCTTCGAGCTCTTCCCAATGGATCTCTCCCTGATCAGGGCTGTTACTTTCCCAAAATGTCCTTTGAGGAGCAAAAACCTGAAGCGAACATTGAATGAATTGTGTGCCTCCTCCTTGGCTTGCTCGGCTCCTGTTTCGTCTTTCTTTCTTCTCTTCTCTTCCTGCTGCTCCAGCTTCTTCAGGATCGCATTGAGCACATTTTCACCGCATTCTTGCTGAATGTCGTCCATCGAGAGAATCTTTCGGATGCGTTGTGCCTTCGTGGTGTTCTTCGGCATGCGGGTCCCCCGTGAATCCATGAAGTCCATCAAGTTCTTGACGGTCAGCTTCAGGATGTCTCCGCTTGTCACCAACCAGCCCATCAATGACAAATCTTTCATGCCCCGTCGCAGGATGAGGCTGGTACCACACTTGTCGGACAACGAAGGCTCAGCCAGGTGAATGCTGTAATCAAAGAATCGCACCTGCAAGACCCGCTACTAGCTGACTCGCTAGCTAGAAGCAACGAAACGACATGCAATACCCTTGGCAATCAACACTTCGGAATCCGTGAGCTGCCTCATCAGGCCTCAAGAGCAGCTTCTGCACGAAATTCCTGCAACCAGGTTTGCAAGGGATTAGACCTCGCATGAAATAACGAAGCTTTTAACTTGTAGCGGAACCCCGCCTCCCAACATCCAAAGTCAATGCATGGGTGCTCTGATTCATGGATAGGGGATCAGCCATCACAGCGGCGTCCAGCGGGATGTTGGTCTCATCCACTTCCCTCGCAGGCAAGGGGCCTTTGAAGGAAAACGGCAGCTCCTTCAGCTTCAGGGCCTCAGAATATCACCCTGCTTCAAAACTTGGGTCAAGGGCACACAAACACCCCATGCGTTCACGGTTTAAGGCGGTTGGAGGATCACAATTCAAAAGCCGAGCTGCGTTCAGGATCCCCGGTGTTCGACCGCAGGACAGAAAAAAGGTTCCCTCGAATCGAAAAAGCATCTTTGCAAAGATCACCTCTGGCATCCAGAAGAATTGCATTTCCTCGATCGGATCTCGCTCCATCCTTGACGATATCAGCTGTTATTGAGAAACTGTTGTCTTCAAATTGTGCCGGCGCTTCTTTCAATCTCTCTTTTTGTATTTGTCGTCACTCACTGTCACTCACTCACTCGCTAGATCGCTCGCTCGCTCCCTCCTCCCTCGGTCGCTCACACACTCACTCACTCACTCGCCCACTATCTCACCCGCTCTCTCCCTGACACACAGACTCAAACACACACACAAACACACTGGCTCCCCCTCCTGTGCCTCTGTCTGTCTGTCTGTCTGTCTGCTGCTGCTCTGAGTCTGTGCGTTCCTGGCAAGAAGCGAATCTGCAAGCATCAGCCCGGCCATGTAGTTCAGCGAATGATGGCAGTGATGAAAAGCCGAGGTAGAGGGGAATGGCTTGCTGATGTTGTCGTAGGACAGATTGTGGCCTTGCAATCGACTGGCCAAACACGATTGTGACCACACTTCCCAAGCAAAACAAACAGAGAGAGCACCAACCCTGCCGAGAGAGACTTGCTGAAGGACCATGTGATCTGTGAAAGAAAGTTGCAGTTGTGTCGCATGGTGGGGCTGACGTAGGATTGAAGATCTTCGTCTTGAGTGCTGAAATTTGGGATCCAGACCAATCCTCCTTCTCGAGTGACAAAGCCTGCGGGCTGTCGTCGCCGATGCACAAACGACGGTGGAGGCCCCTGATCGCCACAGCCATCAGGTTCGGAAGAGAGCCCACATCACTCTGGCCACTCCGCTTCACAGCTGCTGTCATCTCCTTGAACAAGGATTCGATATTCGATGACCATGCGAACTCCGGGAACCAAGCCAAAGTGAGGCTGAGGGCTTCTGGGTGGACTGTCCAAGCGTGTTTCTCCCACACAGCCATCACTTCCCGAAAGCAGTGGTAAGTCACGTACCCTGCAGTGCTCGTGCAGCTCACAAGCCGAAGCGGGATTGCCTTCCAGCCGCAGCACCAGTTCCCATTCGGACTTCATCTGGCTCAGGACGAGCTTCTTAGTTTGCTCACTGTTTTCATCTGATTGCGGTGAAATCAAGGCAGCGGCCTTCGACGGTGAGCTGCGAAGATATCGAAAGTGTTCAAGAAGCTCCTGCGTTGTAGCCAAGAACATCCCCAATGCTTCTGACAGCACCGTCTCGTCTGTAGAGCTCCGGCGAAACTTGACTTTCAACTCCTCGCGGTAAGATGGGTGCAACAGCTTGAGACTGTCAATTTGTGATGCTCAGAATGCTCGGCCCGTGATGCTTTTAATTCTCGCTAGTAGATTCCCCGATGATGATCGTGATGCCCAGTTTCTCGTAGAATCGTGCTTTTGTCGAGCGGATGAATGGAAATCGGGATTTCGAACCCTAAGTTCCAGTTGTCTGCACAACTGAGTCATTGAGGACCAACAGCCGGCCCAACAGCAGCAATCAGTCGTGTGCACATATCGGCCAGTGGTTTCGGCGTCGAATGCTAGCTACAGCTGTAATTATTGTAATTCCTCGAAGACTACTAGTTAGCTGACCATTGATTCTTGATGCCAAAGCTCAGACCGATGAGCCCTGAGATTTACACTTGGTTGCACTTGTGCTCAGTTTCGGGTCCACGAATAGGCTATGTAGCGGGCTAAGGGGTTGGAGTCTTCATTATCTATCCTGCCGGAGTGCAGGACTGCAGTGCAGCGGAGTCAAAAGCTAGGCTAGACTCAGACACTTCACAGCTATGTCAGAAGAAAGATTCATTAAATCATTAGATGCTGGCCTGCCCATTCATGGCCACGTCCGGCGGCATGTCGAACACCTTCGAGGAGAGGCACTCTGTCGCGAGGGCCGAGATCTTGTTCTCGAGGTCGCTGGTGTTGGCTTGCAACGTGAACTTGTGCAGGGCCATCTTTTTGCTTTGCTCTCTTTGCTTAGTTGCAGACAGAAGATGCAACTACAGCTGTGGTTCCGTTCGGCAGCCTGCGTACACCAATCTTGCTGCAGCTGAAGCACAAGCTCCAAGCAGATATCCTTGAAAGGAGTGACCACTTTGCGGGCGAAGCGGAAGATCCCAAAAAGCTCCTCGTCCATGAGAGCCTGTCCAGAGTGCAGAATAAGCAGGTTCTGGGTCGGGCTTCTTGTGATTTGTTGCGAGCAACAGGCTAGGCAGGCCTTGACACACTTTTGCACGGTTTTGTCTTGACTGGATTCACCTTTCTGCTGGATGGCGTCGAGGCTCAGCGGATTCTTGCCCACCTGTTGCATGAGCTTGCGTATGTCTGTGTGGTGTTCAAGATTGACTGTGTCGGAGCACACGTGCTTGTGAAACCGTGTTTGTGTGCGTGAGAGAGAGAGAGAGAGAGAGAGAGCCTGAGCTAGCGAGAGAGAGAGAGAGAGAGAGAGAGAGAGAGAGAGAGAGAGAGAGAGAGAGAGAGAGAGAGAGAGAGAGAGAGAGAGAGAGAGAGAGAGAGAGGGTGAGAGAGAGAGAGAGAGAGAGAGAGAGAGAGAGAGAGAGAGAGAGAGAGAGAGAGAGAGAGAGAGAGAGAGAGAGAGAGAGAGAGAGAGAGAGAGAGAGAGAGAGAGAGAGAGAGAGAGAGAGAGAGAGAGAGAGAGTGTGTGTGTGTGTGTGTGTGTTTGCGGCGGCGTGGGTGCAGGTGTGAGGGTGGGAGTGTGTGTGTGTGTGTGTGTGTGTGTGTGTGTTTGTGCGTGCGTGTGTGTGTGTGTTTTTGTGTGTGTGTATAGTGTGTGCGTGTGCTTCTGTGTGTGTGTGTGTGTGTGTGTGTGTGTGTGTGTGTGTGTGTGTGTGTGTGTGTGTGTGTGTGTGTGTGTGTGTGTGTGTGTGTGTGTGTGTGTGTGTGTGTGTGTGTGTGTGTGTGTGTGTGTGTGTGTGTGTGTGTGTGTGTGTGTGCGTGGCGGGCGGGTGGGGTGCATGCGGGGGTCTGTGTGCGTGGTGCATATGCGTGTCTGTGTGTTTCTGGGAGATTAATTACAGAGCACGGAGCTTGGCAGCAGCAGCAAAACTGTAGCTACCAAACCCGTCCTCAAGGGAGCTCCAGAGGATCAACAGCAATGTACTCGACATCTGGAAAGTAGCAGAAGTGTGTGCCCACGAGCACCAGCGGGACCACGAGAACGACTCGCTGTTGTACCTAGACTGCTAAATATAGGGCACGACATGAACCATCAACTCCTGCATCCCAGCGGCTTTATGGTCTTGCCAAGGATTTCGACCGTCCTCTCGAAGTTCAGCTTGGCATCGGAGGTGTAGGGCAGGCTGTTCCTCGGATGGATCATCATTGTCAATTGGGGCTCGTACAAGCGATTCAGAGTTGAGAAATGCGATGACGGATCAGGCAGCTTAGTCTCTCCCTGAGGATGTCCCTGCTGAAGAGCTCCATTAAGAAATCATCTTGCTGAGCCTTAGTCGTAATCCATCCGACATCATAACGGTTCCAGCAACTTGTAAAGCACAACCATGGTATCAAGTTTTCGGTTGAGTCACAGCTTCCAAGTACCTTTCTCCGGCCTCCTTCAGTGTGGAGGCAAAGTTGCTTGTCCCCCAAGGAGACTTCTTGGCTCTGAAGAGCCAACCGCTCAAGAGAGTCATTCCTGATTTTGGGGACACCAGCTTGAATTGAATGTGCAGAAACAGAACAACACAACAAAACAAGGCTCAAGGCAACGGGCAGATTTCCAGGGCCGAGGATCTCTTGATCACCGGGCTGCACGACGTGACACGTCCCATATGGTTGTTAATCTTGTGCCTCAGACATGAAGATCTTCAAGGGTCACACGAAGCACCACAGAATGAGCTGATTACATTCTCGCCGAGCTACAACTCATCGCGTATGAGGTTCACAGATCCGCCGCAGTGGCACATGTATTCATACGTCGCGTAAAGTGCACTCCCTTGGTCGGGGCACAGGACTAGTCGCAATCCTTCGGCCACGGTGTCCCAACGGGCGTCGCCCGTCGACTTGTTGATCACGTAGCCATACAGCATATCACCGACACAGTGCAGTCGGCGCTCTTCGCTGTCAGCATCTATGGGGGCACAACGGGAGCTTGGAAACACCTCGGCCAAATCGAGGCCGATGTGCGACAACACATTGGCCACTGATTTCAGCTCCTGCTTCGCAGCCAGCCGATCTTCCCTGAGGGAGCTGAGTGCCTTCGGCCTGAGTCACCATGGTGAGTTATCCGTGATTTCGGAATTTCGTGCTAAGGGCAAGAAATACATTCAATCGTGCATAAGTATAGGTTAGGGACAGCTTCTTTCTTTCTTGTTTGGTTGTGTACTCGGCAAGCATTGCTTTCGTGTGGCTCTCGGCCACCAAGCTTGCTGCTCCCAGCTTCTGCGATGCCGTAGCAGTACTGGGCAGCAATGTCGACAGTCGCTGCAAAGTTCCCACACACAGGCAATCCGGAAGCCCGAACACTGGAAGCCACACCTTAGTCTCCCCGTGAACACAATATGTAGTCCCAATGCAAGCTGGAGGGCCACCCCGATTTGCAGCCTAGGCTCATCGTGCTTCGCTTTGGGGCTAGCGTCGCATATCAATGCGATGGACTTGTGCTGCAGGTCCGCGAGAACCTGGATGCAAACAGAAGCGAGGGTTGCGGGCTTGTTGGAAGCTTCGGTTTCGGTAACCTTCTCCGTCTTGTGCTGTATCTTGACAAGATAGCGGTGCACGAAGTCGGCCGTCGTCCTGATATCATGTGTTGCACACGGAGGATTTTGATGCTAGTTGCGGTCATTTCAACAGGTTCATAAGATTATTCAGTCCTGTTGTAATGCGTGGGGCATAGAGCATCGAGCCCGACCTCCTTCAAACTTGCGTCTGCCTGGCTGCTGCAGAAGCCACCACCACGTGACAAGAAGCGGGCTATTGCCAGCTCCGACTTCGGCTTGCTTTCCAGCTTCAGGCGTCTGCCATCCCTGGTCGCAATGGAACACCAGCTTTCAGCCAAAGCCAAGAGCCCTCCCACTCCCCCACCCGCCCCCCGCCCAGAAGAATTGCAGCTCAGGAGCTTGGTCGCCGGATGGAATGCGTGTTCTGCGGAGAGGGGCGGCAGCACATTGGTTGTCAATTTCTCCACCGAAAGCTCAGCAGCTTGACTCAAGAGATGTATCGCCCGTCGTTGCAGTCGACCACATGTGTGCTTCTCCTGGACTGCAAGCTGCAGGAGTCGGTTTTGGGATTTAGTATTAGGACTGCTGTCGCTGCCAAGTGGCATCGAAAGAATCCGCGTGGGGCAGCCGAAGCAGGAACCACACGACCAGGGGCAGGCGAAGGCCTAGGATTTGGGGGTTCCGGGGTTTGGGTTGTTCTGTGGCTTAGAATTAGAGAGGACAGTTTCACAACGGGCAGGCCTGTGTCCACTGACTGCTCTTCCTTCGAGAGGATCTTGCACTGCTGCCACCTTTGCGGGATTTCTGCGTTGTTGTTGATGTTCAGGGCATGATAGCAGACCCCAGTCAGTACAAAATGTCCTTTCGGGCCTCTGCGTGAGATTCCCATACTCCAAGAAATCATTCCAGGCGGCCAGAGACACATAGCCATTCTGGACTGGAAGCAAACCTGAGATAAAACCCGAGTACAGATGTCGCGTCAGAAACCAGCGACAGCAGCAGCAGCAGCAGCATCTTGAGAATCTAAGGTGCTAGGAACTTTAGCCCGGCGACATGCTTCGTTCTTGGCGAGCAAAGCTAGTTCCAGGCTTCCCACAACAGTGGTTCCCAAGATGACATCCAAGGTCTTCAAGGCAGCTGTTTGTATCTCTGGCTTGCAGCCTCGGCCCTGCAAGACGTACGAGGCCTGTTTCGAGACTGCAAATCAGTTCAACATACTTCTTTCGGGACGACAAGTCAGCACGAAGATCTTGCAGACAAGTCACGAGGAAAATCGCCCCCGGAAAGGTAACCCCGTCGAAGGGCAGGCGGATGCGATCAGGGCTTTTGTTGGAGTTCTGCCCCCGATATGAAGTTTTCCTTATGCAGTGGACGTTGATGAAGTCAACTTTCCAAGCCTCAGCAATATCCATCGCGAGTCCCTCTTGCCTTAGATCAGAGAATGTGGCTAGAGTTGGGACAGTAAGGGTTTCGGGTAGGGAGCAAGCAGAACCTAGGCCAAGATCGATTGCAGACTGGACACAGTTTGGAGAAGCAGTTGTGGAAAAATTGAGATCGCTTGGTCAGCGACCACAGCTCTTCTGCTCGGAAGAGCACTCTGTAACCCTGGACGTGCTGATCCACCACCTTTTGCACGTGGGTTCCAGCATGATTCTTTCTGATTCATTAAATTGACATTGAATGAAACATGCTTCGTTGCAATGCGAAAACCCAGCTTGCCCAACGTCTGTGCCTTGTGGAGCTGCAGCACTCCCTTCACGGCTTTGTTGCAGGACAAGTAGACGGTCTCGTACTTGCTGTAGTCTTGCCCAGGACTACAACTGCTATCCGAAGCCGCTGCCTCCGCCTGGGCGCCGTCTAGGCTTTCTTCAGCGGGAGCAGCACGGCCGAAGAGTCTTGGACGAAATCTGAGGCCGAGAGAAGTTGCCGTTGCACGAAGGCTGTGCAATGCATCCTGCCAGACAGCACACTAATGTCGCAGCACAACAGAGGCCAGCCTTGACAAGTCTTAAGATGTAAAGCATGATGCTGTATCTAAGCGGGGGCCTCCCAAGCTTCTTGCGTCACATCCAACATACCGATGGGCCTGCCGTTCTGGAAGCAGGTGTCGACATATTCTATTTTTTGAGGATGTTCTTCAGCAGCTCATCTCTCTCTGTTGTATCCACAAGCCTTAGATTTGGCTTTAGGCTAACTTGGCCACACTGAGTGAGCACGGTCACAATCGAGCGAGCACGTTGCAATCGAGCGAGCACGTTCGGGCCCGGGGACCCGGAGAACTGCGGCCAAGGATCTCTCGCAGCTTCTGTAGCCGCCCTTCTAGCCAAGGGCGGGCTGCCATGGTCGCCTTGGATGCTCGCTCGCGGCGTCGGTGCTGGCTTGTTCTGCGGGTTGCGACACTGGGTGACAGCAAAAGTCGAGCGAGCACGCATTCCAGCAAACGGCTGGCAAACGAGCGAGCATGCACGATTCCCATGTGTTTGTCCATTTAACCGCGGTTTGGGCCGTCTAACAGAAATGCATGCTCGCTCGCATTTTGGTGCCCGCCAGGTGCGTGCACTGGGCAAAAGAATCGCGTTAGACGAGCACGGTGGGTTTCAGCGAGCACGTAGGCTCTGAGCGGGCACGTTGTGCTCGAGCGAGCACGTTCGGGTCCAGCGAGCACCCAGCAGCACGACCCAGCACCATCACTTTTACAAAAAGGACTAGATTATGCAAAAGACATCGACTTTACCTTCTAATCTCTCTTCCAGGAATCCGGCCGAATCCCCGGCCCGGCCCGCCCGGCCCCGTCCCCACCCTCCCACCCCCACTCTGTACTCCCAGCCCCCTCAAGGCCCCGGCTACGAATCCCCACCCCGGCTCCCCCCCAGCCCTTTCCCCTTGTGCAACTGAGGAGCAGCAGGGCCAGCTGGGCACCAAAGGCGAAACCACGGCAGCAAAAGCGATTTGGAAGGGCTCCGTTAGTAGGGTTTCGGGACAATGCCGGGCAGTTTCATTTACTGGGGGCTTTTCTAGTCTAAGATTGCGGGTCCAGCTTGCATTGTTTCAGGAGGCTGGGTCACTTCGTGCCAAGCTGAGGCTTGGGTTTGCGTGTAAGTTGGTTGAAAGGCTCAGGCGTGTTTCGGGAACGTACGGTCTAGTCCAGGACTAAATATTGGTTTATTATACATTGCTAGCCTAGGCCGAGCTGAACGTATTCTAGCAGCACAGCAGAAGCTCCACAGCGAAATCAGGAGCTTTCTTCCTATTAGCCTATTAATAATTTAGTCAGTGCTCAACCACCTAATTTAAGCTGGGGCTGAGGGTTTAGGCGGTCTAGGGATTCACAAGGGCCCTTCCTTCGGTCTATTTAATTTAATCATCTAATTCAGACTACAGTAAGTAAGGCATGAGCTTAGAAACGTAGACATAGAGTCGGCGTGTAGGTATGCCAGAACAGTTTAAGTAAGGAAGGATCAATACATGCAACTGAGGCACCTAATTGCATGCATTTATGTTCCTCCTAAGGTCCTATGTATGCATATATATTTATATATGTAGGTAACGTGTGTTTCTGCGTTTGTATGTAGGTAGATATGAGTGTATGTGTGTGTGTGCATCTTTTTATATGTAGCACATGTCATGTGTATAGCTTGTCTTCATGTACACATACATCTCATCAGGAGCCGTGACCTCGCAACAAATAAGAAGGGTTCAATCTCAGCAAGAATGTAGCACACGAAGCAAGCTTCTGACTTTCCGACAGCAAGGAACAAAACTCCCAGACCCGTGTTTTTGCAGCACCCCGTTGCAATCACTGATCAAACAGTCTCGGAGCCTGCAAGGCGGATGCCAAGATGGCAAAACGTCTGTCTAGATGATCCTCGGTGCTTTCCCCTGTAAACAGCAGCCCTGAACCTTAACCTGGCCCTGGCTTTCAAAACCCGCAGAATTCATCCATCACACCGGGAATCGGCCACTCAGGTGGTTGGCTTCGCAGCAGCTGTGCGGCGGCCCGGTGTCGACAACGGTTCCGGTTCCTCGGAGCTGGTACAGGCTGCAAGCTTTCGAGACAGTTTCGGGGTGAAGGCACAACGAATGCTGCCGGCATGCGGAAGCACGGGTAATCACACCGGGCAGTTTCTCGGCCCAGGAATCAAAGAGCTTTCGGGCCCTCAAAGACATCTTTGCAAAGTGGGGCTTGCCCACTCCCAGGTGGTTCGAAAGGCAACCTCCGAAAGGCAACCTACGTCCCTACAAAGAAGCAACAAGAACGGCTTCACATGTCAAGCTTACGTAGCCCGCCTTCGAGCCCGAGTTCGAAATGATTCATCTCGAGCAAGCCCTCCTTCTCCAGGCAGGCAACCCAATATCCAACATCGGCCCTTAAATTCAGTATCATTCGGATGAGGCAGAAACGGGCCAACTCACTGTGATTCACAAACCACACGGCAGCCGAGACACTGGGAGAGATCCGTGGGCAAAGTGTCCAGGACCTCACGGCTAATCTTCTCAAGGCTGGCCTGCATTTTGGCCGGGAGCTTCGGCAAGGCGCTCTCCCCGGAACCCTTAGGCACGGCGAAGTCCCCCTTGAAAACGTCCTCGTCGTCCGACGGCTCCCCATCCGGCTCCCCATCCGGCTCCCCCTCGGAGCTGGCATACGGTGCAGCCTCTGGGCTGGCTTCCTCCCTGTCTTTCTCATTCTCAGAATGATCAGGGTCAGCTTCCTCCTGCTTGTCTTTGTGCCCGGTGCCACGAACAGGCTTGGGGTTCTTGCGGTCCGTCTGCTTCATGTGGTTCTTCAGGTCCACCGAGGCTGCCTGTGCGGCAGACATAGAATTGAATGCTAAAGTCCATTAATCTCAGAAACAGCAACAGACCTGTAACCCCAACAGGACAAGCACACCTCGCGGGCATCCTTCATGATAGTGTCCAGTGCCTTCATCCAGGCAGCTTTGCCCCCATCACACTTCCTCAGATAACTCTTGTGTAAAAGCAGTGCATGCTTTACTTGATTGAGCTATTTCTTACTGAGGCTCTTCATCTGCCTCTTGCACAAGTTGCGGAGCACGGCCGAGCAATCGAAGAGGGTCTTGGCGGCACAAAGCCGCACGGAGGTTGCCGGGCGGCCGGTAACTGCAGCAAGGCTGTTAGGACTTAGGAGACCGAAGGTAGGGGTCGCAGCAGCTAGGTGATTCTGCTGTTTGTTTGTCGTTGTCGTGTCTGCCCTCACAGGCAACATGTGTATGGTCCTTGAGGCTCGAGGCCAGTGAAATAGACTAGCAGCACCCTTCTGAGCTACTCCTGGCCTAGCTGCACATTATACTAACGATACAATGAACCACCTATTCCGACAAAGTCCAATAGAGTGTTTGCGAACATTTCACGACACAACACAACACTCCCTGCCACCCCTCTGCCATCGAAAAGACGTGAAGGTTTGCAGCCCGTGCTAAGTCATCCAACGACAGATATGCGAGCCAAGGCACGATGGTGGGCCAAATCGGCCATTCTGCGCTTCCACATCGTGCCGGCGGCTTTCATCTGGGAATGCAGAAGCTGGGCTTATCGTAGCGAGGTTCAATATAGTCCTGAATAGTACAACAGACTTGAATCGAAAGGAATGCTGTGTTTTCCGGGCTCACTTGGGGCTGGGGCTGTCTTGACTTGTACAGGAAGGGCTCTTGCGGGATACTTACATGCTGTGTTACAGAAAGAACCATCAGTGTAAGCTAAGTATCAAACCCAAACACCTACCAACCAGCACCTTACCTCGTAGAACCCTAATGTCCCCACCGCGACCCTTGATGGCCTAGCACCTAGAACATGTTCTAGCGAGTGCCTACCACCAGGATAATTTCGAGAACAAAAGAACCAGCCTGTTTGGGCAATTACGATCGCACTTTTAATTCCCGACTACCCCAAACAATGCACCTGAAAAACGGCGTCCGTGTGGTCTTTCTTGGCCCTGTTCTTCTTCGCCGTCAAAGCTTTGTCTCGCAACAACGACTCCTGAGGATTGCAGGGGCAATTGAATCAGGGAAGTAAAAGTTGTCGGCCCAAATGAACCTAAAAGCCTTCAGATAAGACTCGAGTTCTCCACCCATTTCGAAGACATCATTGGCTATGACCAGCGGGGTTACCGAAGACAGCACCAAGCCCAGCGGCCTAGGTTCCAGCTCCGACAACGTGGCAATCTCCATGCTGCGGGTCATCTCCTTCTTCGACAAGCCGAAGGTCGCGGAGGAGTCCTCGAAACCATCCACAGAGGGCTGTGAAGGGCAGCTGGCCTCCGACGAAGACGAGTCTTTGGAGCTGCCTCGGATTTAGGTCATAGCACGAGTCCTCAACATAAGCCATTGAATAGGAGTGCAACACTGATGCAGTGAGTTGCTGGACTTCTTGCTCTTCTTTTTGCCCTTCTTCTTGTCCTTCTTCTTCTCGGTTTTTTTCTTCTTCTCCTTGTCACCAGCATCCAGTCCTTGGGTGCAGCAGATAGCAGTGTGGCTGTGTGGATAACTACAGATGTACCTGCCTTACTGTAGCACATGCAAAGACCATGCGGAAATTTCGCAAGCAAGGGTGGGTAGGTGCGTGGACGGGTGCATGGGCAGAAGCAGGGGCGGGCGTGGGTGGGCGGGCAGGCGAATGCCTGGGTGGCCGGGTGGGTATGGGTGAGAGAGGAAAATGGGTCAGAGCGAGTGGTAGTTTCTGCATGAGAGGCAGCGAGAGTTAGTGAGAGGATGAGAATGTGTGAGAGTGAGTGAGGCTGTGTGACACTGAGTGAGAGCGAGCGAGAACGAATCAGAGAGTGAATGAGAAGCAGAAGGAGTGACCGTGACAGTGAGAGGTGAGAGTGCGAGTGAGTGTGAATGAGCGAGGGCGAAGGGAGTGAGTCAGAGTGAGTGAGAGCGAGTGGGATTGAATGCGTGAGAGTGAGTGAAATTGGGTGGGGGGTATTTGAGAATTCGTGAGAGTGAGGGAGAATGAATGAGAACAAGTCACGTTGAGAATGCCTGAGACAGAGTGAAAATGCGTGACCAGTGAATGAGAACGACTGAAGGCAGAGAAAGAGAGTGTGTGAGAGTAAAACAGAGCAAGAGTCTGAGGAACATAAAGGGAGGCCACGGATAGATAGATAGATAAGACAGATAGATCGATATGTGTATCGGTGTGTGTGTGTGTGTGTGTGTGCGGGCCGCCACGAATAATATGAGATCTCTGCACTTCCCACAGTCAGCGAAAACAAGGATTGTAGCCCCAGAAGACAACCCAACGTGACACCGAGATTCCGAAAGCTTCGTCCAAACTCCGCTTGGCCGTATCCAGGAGGAAGCTTCGTGGATTGGGTTGCGGCGTCTCTGCCTCCACGGATGCCAAGCTCTTCGTAGAGAGAGCCCTGCCCGCATAGTTGGTCAGGTGTTGATTTGGGTGATGGATAGGGAGCTAATCCAGAGTGTGGCTCGCGGCTTGATGCAACGGATCCTGTACTACAACTATAATAATATTTCTGACATCCAGGAATTCCTAGGCCAAAAGCCCCAGAGCATAGAGTAGCCTTGGGTCAATTCGCGATAAATAATATACCACCTAGTCACAGCCGAACTGACTCTGACAGAGAAATAATCAATATAGACTAAAGTCGTAAAACTAGGAGACTCAAGTTGTACAGCTCGGTAATTGGGTTCAGGGCTGGGGCTTTTATAATTTTAATGGCTTCGTACCACTCAGCAAAGTCAGGTGGCCCTGGTGCAGAAAAACCGCCAATGCATGCCAGCATCCCCGAAAACCCAGGGTTGCTAATAAAGCTGCTGTGTTTCCAATGACCTCTGAAACCTGGGCCCCATGAATGCAAGCTTTGCAATTGCAATGAAGACCTCTGGTTCGGAGAGACTGCGAGTTTTCCGCCGGGTTTCGCTGATTCACTTTGGGTGTTCAGGAACTCAACAGGTCCTACCTCCGCCCGAAAGAGCAACCCAGTTTATTTATTTCAAACCAACCTCCCGGTTTCCAAAGGCTCGGGTCCCCAAAACACTCGGCGTGAGAGCCCCAACCAACGGAAGCAGCCGTCCTCCTCAGGTTTTTGGCAGGGTCCGCCTTCTTCATCGCCGGCAGCTCGCAAGCACGGGGGCAGCCAAGGATCTAAATAAGCGGGGCCACCCTCTTGTGAGAGAAGGCAAACAGCATACATATCGCAGGTAACAACACGGCTCCAGTCTGTTGCACCCAAACTCAAGGCAGCACGAGCTATCGACTTCCTGTTTTGCCCGTCTAAGGACCTCGCTCGCAGCCACTGCGGATGAGGGCTTTGCCGTGAAGTATAAGACTTTAAGACTCTAGTTTATGAATGTCAGTGGAGTTTTCCACATCAAGCAGAAACCCTGTACTGCAGTACTCTAGTAGTTAGTCTATAGCACTCACCCATCCACGAGCCCGACCCCTGTGCATCGAATTTGTTATGTGCACTCCCGGTGCTTTCAGCGGCTACTGTGTAAGGTTGGTGGGCTTATTGTTGTTGTCGTTGAGGTATCACAAATCTTACAAGGTAGAACTAATTACTGGGAGGGGAAAGCAGTATAAAATTTGCCATGAACCAATGCACGAACCGTCCAGCACACTTGCAGCCAGGAGCTCTTGCTGTAAACCAAGTTGCCAACGATCATATGCCACATCTCCAATTGATAGAATCGATAGACTGTATCATCCGTTGATTGATTTGGCTGCAAATGGCAAAGACCACGGGCATACCAATCATGGTGTGCCTGGGACATCGAAGCGTTGGCAACGGGCTCAAAAGTCTCTCAGGTGTTGAGGCTTTGGGTGTGCAAGCGGGACAGCCACTTGACTTAGCTCCACAACCAGTGCACAATGATAGAACCATTGAGTCAAGGCACGAAGCTCATTTCCTCCCATAGGCGATTTGGTATCGGGCAGCATAAATCAAGATTGTCCTGAATCAATTATTATGATGGTAATGTGTTCCTAGACTGCACCCTAACAACCACAGCAAGCGGCCACAGCGGGTGGAGTGTGGGTGCAGTAGACCCATGATGTGCACACATACACACACACACATGGCGATGACACGGTGCACAACGGCAGCCATGGAAACTGTTGCTTGAGACATTCCCAACCAAGACTCGAGTCCGGCTTCACATCAAGCCGTTGCATTGGCCAGCGGCTAGCAACTAGAGCATCTCCCACTCCTGATCAAAACGTGAAAGAGCGGATCCCCGCACACAACCGATGATCGAAACCACAAACCACAATTCAGCCAAACTCGAAAGGTCGGGGCTCCCCGTCGGCAGTCATCATCAAAGGTCCGGGCCCAACCTCGGCCAGGCAATTTGACTCCCACACAAGGAACACACACATACACACGATAACCTAAGTTTTCTTTGAACTAATGAATGAAGCTGCCATGGTACCGGTGCTGCAGTCGGCCGTGTGATCTTCACATCGCGGTTCTGCAGGGTTTGGATTAATTCAATCGTAGCACAAGCGAAACATCAAGTGGAAGGACTCGAGCCTGGCCTCGAATCGCAGCACGACCACCCGCCTCCGCTTGGCGAGCCTGCCCGGCCGTGGGCCGGAAATCAGCACCTCGTCCAGATCCTGGCCACAAACAATTAATAATCATGGCCGGGGCGAAATCAACACAATGCGGATGCCCGTCCTGGTCCACCAGGTTCTTGCAAACCCGATCAAGAAGTTCCGCCATGTCGCGAGTGGCCAAATCGTTCCGCCGGTGCCGCAAAAGGATAAGATCTGTCACCTCAAAAAGCGGCCGAAGCTGAGCACTCTTCTAATGTACCACAACCTTGCATAATTGCGGGTCAAGTGGCGGCGTAAATGTACGACCCCGTTTGCCCGCGGACCAAGCAAATATCCGGCACGTCGGGGTTCAGCATGCGAAACCTAAGAGATTGCCCGGGTACACGAGCCGCAATGCAGAATCGAGAGAAATCAAAACGCCCTGTCTAAATTCATATCCATAACGAGCGGCATCGGCCTCAGACGGGCCGACATGTACTTCAAGCAGCGGATCAGAAACTTGTCGTTGCCAAACAGCGCAATTGGTGACCTCGAACAATCAACAACAATAACAACAACCACTGACCGCCCCAATGCACAATCTCAACCGAGCACAAGCCGACCACAATGCACCAAGAGGCTGTCCCAGCTGTCCCTGGGCACCAAAGCAGGACATTGCAAAGCTTTCCTGGACCACCGTGAGCTCAGCGAAAACCTCCTGTGCTCATAGAAAACCACAAAAATGGAACTGTGACATCTGAAGCAAACCGGCTTAGACCCTCTCCTGCCACATCTTTTGGTGCTTCTTGAAGGCTCCGAGGAATTCATATGGCATCTGCACCACAATCCGAACATCTATGTTTTCGCACAGAATAATCAGGCCAACCACGAAATCCTGAGCCCAGCAAGACACAACTCCTCTCCCCACGATTTCCGATCAGTGAAAGAAAGCATGAACCCGACTGCCGCGTAAAATAAATGATAGTAAGTCTCCACCACTTTGGAGACATGGTGCCTGGCCTCCTCCCAAGCAAACGGCCTCAGAGAGAACAGCCGAAATCGCAATGATGCCCCAAGCACGACAACATTACTGCAGCGAGGCACATGATATAGCATACCCCACCGGGATACAATCTCGAGCACATCTGCATGCCTCAGATGAAACTATGAAAGCAACTACCCACTACCCTTGGCCACTAGTACCCGCGGTGATCAAATGCAATGCAGCGACAAAGAGCTTGGCCATCTTCAAGAATGATGCTCTCATTCTCCAAACCGATGTGGCTCCATACATGAGCAGCCCGCAGCCCCTCCTCAGACGAGTAAATAACATGGGCAAAAGCAACAGTGGCATGTCACATGTCCTATCCACAATCGCAAATCCTGAGCATGGCACTTCTGTGCAGCCCCGGCAAATAGCTGAAGACCCGATTTCAAGGATGTCGACGAATCTCTGCCGCACAAACACAGGGCTGTTGGGAGATTTATACCCATCGTCAAATATCCACGGGGCGGTCTGCTTCACGCGAGAAAACCAAGAATCATGGCTGGCGCCGGCTGACATTGTCCAAATCTTGCTTGAAACTATGTGCATGTAGCCTCCTTTGCACATGTTCCTCCACGATCATGTTATGTCTCTCTGCTTGAATCGACAATCGAGCGAGCACGGTCTTTTGTTAGAAGCACGCTGGTTTAGCAAGCATGCAAAACGAAAGCTCTGATTTTTGGTTCACAAGGACTTATAAGTGAAGCTAAACCCTGAACAAAGGGCATAAGGCCCCACTCTAGGTCCTAGAAGGGGTTCGAAGTCGAGAAATTAGAGAAAGCGGCCTGCAGTATCAGACCTGGGGGCAAGCTGGGCAAAGTGCAGCTTTTGTGCTACTAATGTAGGAAACTGATTAAGAAACCTTGGGCCTTTCTTAGGGTTCTACAAGGTTTCCTTTAAAGGGTACTACGAGGCTACTATGAGGGGTTTGGGGGTTTCGTGTAGGAACCTGATTAAGAAACCTCGGGGGTTCCTTGTATGAATCCTACTATCTTGGGATTATAAGCACAGGGTTTTCTAATCAGGTTCCTACAATACACACAGGAAGTTACAGTTGGTCAATCCAGAACTCGCTCAACTGCAAGTAGGATTCCGGAGACATTCCCCAACAGTCAGCAGCCACTTTTCGAAAGGGTCTGCCTGGCGATGAGAAGAATGCTTCGGGCCAGGACAATAGGGTGCGAAGTGCTGAGAGAATCAAGATCCGACCACCTCGGTCAAAACGACACAAACTCCGGTTTCGGTGTATGCATGAAGAGTTACAGCATCCTTCAGGGAGGTTCAAAGGGGGAGGGTACTAGGGATGCTTAGGGAACCTGAAAGGATGTGGGGGGCATTAAGGGGAACTGTGGCTTAAAATCATACCCTCCCTCTTGAGCCTTGAGCCCCATTCTGCTTGAAAACGGAATCACACCAGTTAACTCGAAATGAAATCGTTAACTGCGAGCGAACTCCTCGGCAACAGAACCTACATGAAGACATAAAGAAGCTGGCTAATTAATCTCGTGTAACCGCAATCCAGCTATGCAACAACGGCAGCCAAACCTCGTGCTCCAGCCCGGTGTCAGAAGCCTAAACCCCTGCTGCTTCCTCATTGCTCTACAATCCAGAAACCCCAAAAGACCTAGACAATCGGTACATTAGACTACTTTTTCAGCCCTGCCGCAACCCCTAAGCCCTAACACCCCCCACGCCCTTGTTCCAGGCCTCTTCAACTCCCTTGGTGGCTGAGGGCCCTAGCAGCTCCTGCGAATAGTTCTACTGAAAATGTAGGGAGGTTTAGAGGCTTAGGGGGTTTTAAGGGTTTTAGGGGTTTTGGGGGGTTTGGGGGTTTTAGGGGCTTTAGGGGTTTTAGGGGTTTTAGGGGTTTTAGGGGTTTAGGGGTTTTAGGGGTTTAGGGGCTGAAGATCTTGGGGCTCATGGGCTGTCGGGTTATAGGGATAAGTGCTGGGGTTTTAGAGTGTTTGCAAGACTTGAATATATACAGGTACGACGTGATAACTTGATAAGCGATTCTGACAGCTAGAAGTAGTTTGTAATGATTTGTCTTGAGGTGTTGGGGTTGTAGAATGCCTTTCAGTTTCTCAGACTTGATCAGAGCATGACGAGGCTGGTACGCAATTCTGTCAGGTTGTTGCCTTCGGGAGCGGGTTTTCCAGCGTGGTTCCGGGATTGGGTTCAGGCTTCAGGCTCAGCTTGTCAGCCCTTCGGGTGTTTTGTATGGGGCAGGGGGATTAGTTTGAGGCTGGCCCTGCAGCCTAGAACCGTGGGAAGAGGAGCGTAAGACCTTCTTCAATGCAGCGGGATCAGCTGTCGGTCCGTAAGGAGAAACCGAAAGCCAGCCCCGCGTCAACTTCTCTGGGCCCCTGCAAAGCCTCTACAGATTCCCCCAAACCCAGGAAGACCCCACAAGGCCCAAGAACAGCTCGGTCCTTGGCCTCTAAGATAACCAAGGATCAAAAAGTGTATGCGTTTATCCACAATTAAAAAGAGTCTATCTGCATGGTGCCTGCAAAACCATATTCTATCTGCACGGTCCCCACTATATTTCATAGTGATCATAACCTTTGCTTTAAGGAACAAGTGCCAAACAAGTTTTTCAAGCATGGCACTCCACTTGGAGGTTCAGGGGCAGCTATAAATTTAGGGTTACAGGTCCCTTAATATGGGTTATAAGTATATCGTTACCCTTCTCACAACCCTACTGACAACTGCCCATGAACCTCCAAGCAAACACCCGGTCCTTCATGCCCGCGGACATTACCGTCGGCGTGAGCCGCAGAGGCAACGCGCCCATGTCGGGGTCCACCATTCTCGGGATGCAAGATCTTTGGGGGTATCTTAGACTGTATAATTACTGTCAATATAAAAAGGAACCCCCAAAACAGTATAGGTAATTTTTTAGGAGACTGCAGAGTTGGTCTCTTATCCCACAGGTTCAGGGTTTAGGGCTTAGGGACTTTAATAGGACCTACCCAGATGGGTCTGGGGTTTAGGGCTTTTGGGCTTTTGGGGTTCCTTCAAAGGGTACTATAAGGGTTCTATAAGGGAACTATAGGGATACTATAAGGGTGCTAGAAGGGGATGCAGGAGAATGCAGAGTTGGTGACTTACCCCATAGGTTCAGGGTTGAGGGCTTAGGGACTACAATAAAAAGCTACCAAGTAATCTCCATGGCAGTACAGCCATATAAGGACTAAGGGCATATGAATAGTAAAGACTAGCCCTATATACTATATGTATATATATATATATGTAGATATATATATATATATATATATATATACACATATAATCGGTATATATGGCCGGATTCAGGATGATAAAGGCAGCAAAGGCCTTGTAAAGGCAGGGTTTTCGGAGAAAGCCTTCCCCCATGACCTAGTGTCTGAGAGCAGGGATCCGTGACTATTGGTTTAGGGCCTGGTGTTCTTGCTTGGGCTTGGGGTTCCGAGCTTCATCGTGACAGGGTTTAGGGTTTGGGAGCCGAGCATCGTTGAACTTTTCCGCTTGGGGATGTGAAATATGGGGTTTAGGTGTTTGGGCTTTCGATGCAAGAACCCTGGCCACAAAGAGCAAAACGAGCACGCTGTCATCCCAAGCATCGTCGTCTGCAGCGCCCCCTTGTTGCTATACACCTCAGTCGAGCGGGCTAGTGAAGCTGTGAAGCCTTGATCTGAAGGATCACCCATCCTGGGATTGAAGTTTATTGGAATATGAAACGCACAAAAGCATCATATAAAGAGCCCTAAACCCTAAAACCCCCTACCCTAATCCCTACAGAAGAGGACGCTGTGGGAACCTATGGTTTTGTAGTTTTCGGTATCGGTTGCATGGTTTTCCGAAGTCTCACGGCGTTCCCTTCGGTAGCATATAATAGTTAGCTTGCAATAGACATGGAATCCGAGATTTCCCGAAAAACTTTCTAGAGGAGGTATCTTGGATCTTGGATTCCGGGGGGGGGGGGGGGCTATCCCAATCCCTAAACCTCCTCAACCCACGGTTTCAGACATCGAACGTGTCTTCGGATGGGAATACTTGGAGGATCATGGGACTTAGTAAGTAAGGTTATAAGTACCCTAATTGGGGTTATAAGTAATTATAAGTATAGTTACCCTAATTATAACCCTTGTTACTAAGTCCCATGATCCTTTAAGTAGTTGGGCTCGGGCAGCTCTGAGGCCCAAGGCTATGAGACACATGGGTGGTTGTCAAAACTATGGTCACTCTTTGGCTACCCTAAATATTAGGTGCCGTATTATAATAGGGACCCAAAAAGGAACCCTAATATTGACAACCAGACACATAGCGGGTACTGCGCCTCCCCGACCC